CTGCCAGGAAGACTCCACCCCAAGGTGGGGCGAGAATGTCAAGCCAGCCTGGCAGATCGACCCGCGAATGATTATGATTGATGATCATAAGGGACAAAGAAGGAAAACCAAAAACAACAAACCCCAGCCCCAAAATGCCGAACCCTGCCAATTCTCTGCTTATGGCTGCTGGAAAATAGACCTGTACCGTCCACTTTACCACATGGAGAAAGAGTCCAGCATCTGTGAGTTCATTTATTTTAGAGATCTGAGGCGGAGAATGAGTCTATTTTGCTGATACACATTAAAGGGATTATTTGCACTAGAACAAATATTTTGGGAGAAAGACCTGGGCTGGTTTGATATGTGGGTTTTTATTTTTCCCTCCAGAGCACGTTTGTCCTTGTCCTTCTTTGCTCTTTCTTCTTTTTTCTTACATTGTTTTCTGAGTGAATGCTGCTAAAGTCAGTTATTGTTTTTGTAATCAGCTGTTTCCGTTTGTAATAATTCTGCTGATTTTCTTTGTTAAACTTATTAAAATGATTCTATTGTTTTCAGTTATGTTATGTATAAGATTTTATTTAAATTAGATTTAATCTCCGGGCTTCACACAACACCACAAAGTGTCATAGCATGTGTCTTGACTGTTTTTCTGTTTGAGAGGCATTTTAAAAGCAATTTGATCCCCACTCGGCCCAGCCACTTAATCTCACTGGACTTGTCTGTAGCTGAAAATGTCCTCTCCGAGCCCCAGAGGCACAGCTTCGGCCACTCGGGCTCACTGCAATCACAGGCTATTTGCTCGGGCAATTACAAAAACGCCCTGGACTCAGGATAAATTTTAATCTTATATATCCAAATGTCAGCCCTGCTTGCTTATTAGCTATCAGCATCCTGCTGCCAATCACAGTGAAAGAGATGAGTTTTCCTCAGCGACCACACCGAAATACTAGAAATTACTTCTTCTCGTTGTAGAAGGCAAAATATTGTTGTAGTTTTCTTTCTAAGATTATGGGGTCTTTACACTACAATATAAAGTGCCTTGAATTTCAATTTCAGTTATCTACTTAAGAGGGACAATGCAGTTTAACATGGTTCCAATAGCATGAAATTGATGTGCTGCACAGAGTTTGAGGCCTCAGGTGACGGTTGTTGTGATTGGCACTATATACATGCAATTGAATCGAAATGGGGATAACTTCACAGTGTTCAAAGATCACTAAATGTTTGACAAATTAGTATTTATTATTATTTTTTATTATTAAAAGTAGTCAGAGCAGTTTTAATGGATGTCACAGAGTAAAACCAGTGGTGGGCAATAGAGCAGGGCGATATGGCCAAAAATATTTATCACGATATATATTTGAAAATTTGCGATAACGATATAACAGACGATATAATTGATGCGAGACAAAATACAACTCCACAACATTACAACAAAAAGACAACCTTCCATTTATTTTCACTTAAACAAGAAGCTGGTTTTTATGTACATTAAAGCTTTATAAAAATGTAACAGTGCAAATGCAAATTCCTTGCTGAAAGTTTAACCAAAAGGCATTTCCAGTAGAAATGGGCTGACATATCCTGAGCATAACCATGTATAATATCCACTGAAGTTAAAAAGAGGTGCTTTGCAACATTAAACTGCAGTGTGCAGTACGTATTTTTCGGACCATAAGGTGCACGGGATTATAAGGCACATTAAGCGAAACAAAGCAGTCAGATAAATCAAACTTTATTAAACTCATTCTTCTTGCTTCCTCCACTTCTGTACCATTGATTCATTAATGTTGAATTCTCTGGCAGCTGCTCTATTCCCATGTTGTTGCAGTACATTAATGACTAACCTGGTATTGTGGATGGATTATCTCAGTTGTTCTCCTGACTGAAGTTTGGTCCGTTTACAGCATCCTGCCATGCGATTGCATTTGTCTCTAACCATCAGGAACCTTCACGTTAACTTTTATAAGTGGAAAAGTGTTAGTGTTCGTCCTCCAGCTTCACTATGTTATGCTAACATAGCTGTGTCGCTAACGATCACGTAGCACATCCTTATATACCAGCTAGCCCAACTTCAGTAACCCTACAAACGTCACTGCTGTTTAGTTTCCTGTCTTCATTTATGTTGGAAGTGATAGCAGAGCTGTACGTTTGATTTTTTTTAGAAATCTCTCCGTCAGAACATGCTATATCATGCTTAGGTAACTAGCGAAACTAGCGAGCTAACTTCCGCTAGCTTCCTGCTAACTTCTAACTCCGTTAAATGTAATAACTTTTGTTTTCATGGATGCCTGGAAGTTAAACTTCATAGTTACACCTGGATAAGCAGCAATGCTGATCGTTTTATTAAAGATGAAAGAATTTAGACAGTTTTTAACTCTCAGTGATGCTGCAGTGTTGTTTGACCTGAAACATACAGAGTTTAGGACCCAGATTACTCCCAGATTTAAGGGCATCTTAGTCCGACGGCCGCTTGCATGTTCTGCAAAGAAATGTGCTTTGTTGTGTATCTGACGGACAAACACCAAACCAGTTCCACATCACTGAAGTTGCACCATTTTTACAAACCAATTCTGGTTCATCTGTTTCACTCAACAATCGGCCATGTGCGTATGAAAACAAAGGCACTGCGCATGCGCGTTTTACTCATATTCTATGGCGATATTTCATTTTCCTATCGTTGCCTAACATTATACCGGTATTACCGTGAACGGTATAATATGGCCCAGCCCTAGTGGGCAATTATTTTTCCAAGTGGCCATATGAGAAACTGGGCCTGTTATGAACAGCTGCACCAATAAATACTAATAAACTCCTCCTGGTAACACAATGAGCCAATGAAGCTGTGAAAAAGACTCCGTAAAAACATTTATTTTTACTATTTTCAGTGTTTTATCAGGATATAATCAACATTCTGAAAAACAATTGGAAACTAAATGTGGATGTGAGAAGTCTGAAAGTGTTTTTGCTGTCTTGCTTGTAGTTTAACTTCTTCATCAGCAGCTTTTCAGTTTATTTGGTTTTTAGGAAGAAATCTAGTGTGCTTTACCTTTGAGTTTATTACAGGTTCAGTGTCTGAGGTGGAAATAAAGAGGATGACACGAGAGAGGATCTGTATGTGGACTCGTTCACCCCTGAGAATATTTGTGAATCCAAATAGTGCCAACATCTCAGTAACACTACCACTACACTACTGCAATAGAGTTTGAAATGCAAAAACTCTGTGATTGTGTGAGCAAGCACTTTGGCGACAGTGGGAAGGAAAAACTCAGTTTTAACAGGAAGAAACCTCCGGCAGAACCAGGCTCAGGGAGGGGCGGGGCCATCTACTGCGACTGGTTGGGGCCGAGCACATAGCCCCGCCCCTCCCATCCAACATGTTTTTCCATTACAGATTTGGACGCCCATGATTGTAACACCTTAGTGTATATTAGAATGGCAAAGGCCACCAAATTAGCCTCTGATGGAGAGTTTTTAAGAATAGTTTATTGGTTTTTGTTATTTTATGTGAAATCACAAAGTTGGTTTTGACGTCATCGCTGGGTGGTAAGTACATTGGTAAGCAAAGGTTCAGATGTCTGTTCTCGGTCTGCGTTGGTCAGCTTTGTGTACTTCGCTGCATGTTTAGTTCATAATGGCGATTCAGATTTCTTGTGCGCTGTCCATCTCTTTAGCTGGTTGACCCAGGTGTTTAAACTGGTCTAGTTTCTCTGCCTCTGTTCTTGCATGCCTGTTGTTAAACCCGTCTCCCCGTTCACACACATATTCTGTCTTGCTGCTTCTGACTTTCATTCCTCTTCTCTTCAGAGCAAACCTCCACATCTTCAGGCGCTCTTCAATCTGCTCCCTACAGTCTCATCTGCAGTTGTCATAGGCCACTAAGACTCCTGCCTGACCTCATCTGCCAATCCGTGCATCGCCACTGCAAACAGACCCAGAGTAGATCCCTGATGTAATCTCGCCCCACGTTGAACCCGGCTGTCTCAACTGCTCCTTGAGCTTTTGCCATTTAATCCTCGACTCCGCCTTCACTTCCTCGTCTTGATTTCTGCAGTCATCCTAAAAACGTCCGGTGCTGTCTACCTGCCACCACTTTCTAGTCTTATATCTCTCTCAGTTTGGCCTTTCTGCATAAGATATAATCCACCTTTGTGCACCTCCCTTTGCTGTTATATGTCACCTATGTTCTTCCCGCTTCTTAAAATGTCTTGACCACAAGTATTTCCATCCTTTTCAAAAATCCATTACCATGTAATCCATGTCCTTGTCCTGCATTTCTCTCCTTAGCACCGTGGCCACCCAACACCTGATTATCACCTCTGTTCCCTTTATCTACATGTCCACTGAAGTCTGCTACTCTGACAGCCAGCCTGAGAGCCACATACACTGACAACATTCAAAATCAGCTTTGAGTTCCACCTTCAAAGTGATCCTGACTATTTGCATACTGTTCTTTTAAGATTAACCCTACACGTGCTCTCTGCACCATGCTGGAACAGCTTGAATCCACCTCGCTTCCATGTAGTCTCCTGCATGCACATATATCTGCCTTCTTTCTCTCCGTCTTGTAGGCAGGCTTTAAAGTCCCTACTCGCACCTCCACACTCCTGCCTTTCTTCTCTCCTGCCGCCTCCTGACACACCTTTCCCCCTGCCTCTTTCTTTGTCTTTGGCCAGCGGTAACAAGTTTCAGCACCCTGCTGGCCAACAGCACCCAGGGCCTGACAGATCCACTCATTCTGGATGAATGTGATGTAACCCTCCCAATTTATCCAGCCTTGAGACCTGCACTAAGAGTATGCTGGCATGTGGCCCTCTTATGGCTCCGTTAATGAATACATGTTTATGTTTAAAGTTCGCATTGACCCCGTGCAAACTGGTCATGGACAACCAAAGGGCCAAATGTGACCTGCAGGCTGTCCAGTGTCCACGTCTGGACTAAATGCATATTGAGTATCTAATGATGGATGTATATATGTGTATAATATTGTTTTCTGTTTGTTCTTGCTCCTGTCACAGGGAGGTGGTACATCTGCGAGGGCTGGCTGAAGGTGGTCCCACCAAAGGGTGCAGAGGCCAAGCCTAAGATGTTCTTCCTGTTCTCCGACATGCTGCTACAGGTCAAGCGTTGCAGCTCCCTGCATTCCACCAGTGGACAGAAGTTTACTGCCGAGCATGCCTATCCACTGCAGGACTGCACCGTAGAAAAGGTGTTTGGCCACACACGGAGCCAGGGAGGCCTGCTCACTGTAAGTGTCTGCCAGCTACTAGTCCCTGAAAAACCAGCAGAGAGGGCTCAGCCTCAACGGTTGTATGAACGGTATCTTCTTGCAGTTAGAGCTGTAAGGATTATGGAAAACGACACAACGTTTTTAATGTTGCCTGTTTACATTATTACAATTAAGATGAGATTGAAGTTCAGGCTTTCAGCTTTAATTCAAGGCTTTTAACAAAAACTACAACCTTACCTGTTCAGGTGTTACAGATATATTATAATATATCACATATTACAGATACAGTCCCCATTTTTCAAATCACTAGTTTTTAACAAGGTATAAAGTGATGATATTAATATGAACCACTCCCCCATTACTATGTAAATCCTCACTGTCATCATGATGGTGGCTGAGCGTTGTGGAAACATCGTTCTTATTGTAGAGTTGAGCTCTCTGTGTTTCTTCTCTGTGTGTGCCCTGCACTGTTTCCATCTTCCAAATGTTGGGAAAAGCTGAACTTGGAAAGAAAACTGTCTGTTTTCTTGGGCAGGTGGGGAGACATCTGTTCACTGATTTCAGGGTACACATGAGTGACTCTTTAGCGGAGCATTATTTAATTTCCACTTTTGACGTATGTAGCTTTGATTTGTCGTACTTAAAGTTCCTCGATGATGAGTGGTATAACGTGTAAAAATAAGAAGTTTGCTGAATGTTTTCAAGCCTCGCTCCGTTAAATGTCATTTAGTCCTGCGTGTTGGAGGAGACCTGTGCTCCTCTTCCTCTCCTCCCTAATCACCTCTAATCCTTGTTGAAGTGGCCCAAAAGTTGAACTTTGAATGTGTTTCTCCGCTCGGTCCATCCATCGTGCAGGTCTCTGTACAGCTGCTTGCTGACAAATTGTGTCTAAATGATGTAGCTGCTGTCATGAAACATTCAAAGCAAGGAGTTGCGCGTCATTGAGCAAGGAACCAAAGCGTTTATGCAGCGAGTGTTTAGTGCCAGTGCTGCATGGTATCAATATTCATTTCAGCTGATAGGCTCTGGCTCAAAGAGCTCTTTATGCAGCGCTGCTAATGTGCTTCCCTGTGATCCAGAGCAGCCACGTCTGATGATGGTGCTGTCCACTGCTGTCTGCTCAGCTTGTCAGAAGCATTTTTGCATGTTTTCTGTCAGTAAAGCTCATTTGTCACAGAACTGGTAGCATACAGTTGGCTGATAGATCTACAACATAGAAACCAATAAAACCCGACCGGGGACGTCAAACGTAAGTCCACGGGCTGGATGTGGATACAGTTATATCCGGCCGCGAGATGATTTCACACAGCAGTTATTAATGGGCCGTCGGTACGTGGAAGTCAAACCTTCAGCCCTGTGGGACTTTATTTTAATGGTCACGCCACGCGGCCAATCGCAGACTGGGATCGTACCATTATGTCAAAGAAGGAAAGGGGTCAGATGTTCCAAAGACAGCAGGTGCAGTGGTACGGGCCAGGTACGCAGAGAGACGCCGAGCCGGATTTAAATGCAAACCTCAAACGAGCAGCGTCTGGCTGCATTTCAATGATACTGGAGACTGAAAGGATGAGTGCAGAATGTATAAAAGTAGGAGCTGGATAAACCCGTGATACACGTTTTAGTTTTTGCCATTTTCCACCGCGGAGGACAAAAAGTTCCACATCTGTACAGACCTCATGTGTTCTCCACAGTAGAAGCAACATGAACAAAAAATCACCTTCTTGAAAGAGACTCAAGTGTCCAGTTTAGTACTGAAAATTACATAAAATAAACTAAATACAGTTTCAACTACAGTTTAAAAAACCTGTAACTTTCTGTCATTTTACACTTTTATTTCTCACGTCCAAAGAGTCGTGCAGACAGATTCTCTCTTTGTCACAGCAGCTGTTTCTTCATCATCAGTGTGTGACTTCATCTGCACAGAAAGCATCAGTGGTCCAGCGGGCTGTTTGTTTCCCACGGTGGAAAATGAGTTTGACACTCCTGAGCCAGACAAAAAAGATAACCAGTTTACTTCTTTATGGGGGGGGATCCTCTTTGGTTACCTTTGTTATCTGTTATCATGTGATCATCCACCTAACACACTGTTTACTGCAACAGCTACACCCTTCTTGCACATGTTCTTTTTCAGCTACTTATTAATAAGTGACTTTTATGAAAAATCATTTCCCCTGGGGATCAATAAAGTATTCTGATCGTATCAGTAAAGGTGCGGGCATCTCAGGTTTCATTTGTTTATAGAGTAATTGGAGCTGTTGTCGGGGCTCAGCCAACAGGCCATCAGGTTTTAAACTGAGTGTATCAAATGTTAAAAATGGGAAAACATCCGTCAAACACAACAAGACGGGCAAAAAGTCTGTACAGATGATTAACTGTGAGATATGTCCGCACCTTTCATGCTTCATTTATCACGTGGATCATCATGGACATTTTCATAGGTTGGTTAAAAAATGCATTTACTTTTATTAATAAACGTTTACGTTTTAAAATGATTAATAAACACTTATTTTACATCCAAGAGGTCTGGCAAACGAGTTTATATCATAAACACGATCCAATGAAAAATAAAGAGGAAAATAACCAGTCGGGTGATTCTGATCAATATCACGTATTGATTCTCGCTGCGTTCTCATTGGCTCCTCTCTGAGAGTCACCAGCATAGCAGGACACACAGTAACTGGTTACGTTTGTGCACGTTGGAGCTGTTTTTACAGAGAAACCTTTTCTTAAAAGTAATGCAGTAGAAAGTAATGAGTTACACTACTTTTACCTAAAATACGTTGTCTAATAATTACAGTTTTTATGTAACAGTTCAGCTTTTCAGTGAAGCCTGCAGATTTAGAACAATCTGAACCTGTAGGCTACAGAATCCGTGTCCTAATGAGGACACGCGTGATCTTTTTCTCAGTCTTTAGCTGTGAACACAAAGCCGACCGCACACAGAGGCTTTAAAGTGATGCCACAGTGATGCTACTTGAGCAATAAGAACAGGTGGACAGGGAGGCTGCAGCCTGACTGCTCGCCTGTTTCACTGTTGGAGGTCTGCATTCAGCTTCAACATCACTCTGGATTCTCGGTTTGTGCAAAGCACTGAAGTTGTGTTCGTTGTGTGTTCGTTGTGTGTGCAATAAAAATAAAAGTTTGGTCCATATTCACGCTGCCATATTTTAGACTGCGTGACTATTTTCTTCCAGCAAACAAACTGAAATCAGCACAAGTGCAGCTGGAATCAATGAGCTAAACTGATAGGCTAAGGCGAGCAGGCTAACGATTCCAACTTGATGGCCTACTGGGAACCAGTTCTCAGTTCCATCCCGACTAACCAGACTGTGTACAAGTACACAGCAGCGCTCAGTTAGTCGGCAGTATGAAGCCTTATATTTGGATGTGTTGTTTGAGGACATTGAGCCAGTTCATTCGTCTTCTCAGAAATCCTGATTCAGTGACGTCTAGAAAGAAAACAGCATTTTTTCTAAATACTACTTTAATGCTCGTTACTTGTCGTTTTTTATATTTTGTGAAAGTGTGCAGTGGAAATGATCAGATATGCACACAGAGCAGAGTTGCAGTGACGTGACGGCTGTGTGACGGATTGTCGTGACCAGGCCAGGCTTCAGTTAAAAGCCCTGAGAATGAAAATCATCCTTCAACAGACTGATGAAAGGAAACTGATGGAGAGATTACACTCACAGCTGTGTTACAGGGAGTGCGTGTGTGTTTTAAGGACTGAGGAGTGCAGTGATGGGCGCCTGCTGTTACCTCAGTTGCTGGATCAGATTAAGCTACAGATCCATCTCCTCTGGGCCTCCAGTAAATACGTCTTCCTCCAGCCTGTCGCCGCTCTGTGACCGTCCCGTTGCATGTTATCTAATGGCAGAAATGGCATTTCATTAGCCTCTTATACCACGGAGGCCCAAGCGCATACTCGATAGCGTTACGCGTAATTCCTCATAAGGACACATTATTGATCCCTGCGTGAACTCGAGGAAAAAGACTGTCAGCACACCGCGGCCCTCCTTATACGGGGCCATGAAGTATTAAAGTCAAATTAAATTTGACAGCTGTAAATGTCATGGCAATCTATATGCTAAGTATTGGAAAAAACAAAAAAACCTCAAACGTTTTATTAAAATTTCCAGTGCCCCCTCCCCCGTTGGGTCTTATTTGTGGCTCGACGTCCATTTTTCTCTTCGTTTTGTGTCTTTTCCTTCTGAATACGTCGGCTTTCTGTATCCTCTCGCCTCTGCTCCCTTCCTGCTGCTAATATCCTCTCATTACTTGAATATTTCCCACATCCCTGACAGATTCTCTTTGATGTATAAATAATCAAGCTAAATTATGTGCAGTGATGAGGCGCTGCTGTATTATACAAAGTCATTTCTACCTAAGAGGGTCAGATTTCCTGACAAATTCCTAATTACGACATCTCAACAGAAGTGGAATCTATTTGTGCAGAAGCAACCACCCCTCCCTAAGCAGCGAGTGCCTAATATCATGCAGCACTTAGTCCGGCCCCTTTCACTGAACTTGGTGCTTTTGATGATGGTGCGTTTGAAGTCTTAATGTCTAATAAGAGACTATCGTCATTGTCTGATGAGCTGTAATCGCCTCCGTACTGGCTGAAGTTGGATATATCAGAGCTCAACAAGCTACTAGTCTCTGCAGATAAATGTTAAAGGCTCTTTAAGGTGTAATTGTGATCTTTAAGCAGTTTTCCTGATGTAACTGTGCTGCTCTGAAAGCACCTTTTGTTTGGGCTTAGATTTGTTCAGCATGTACATCCTGAAGCTGGACTGAGTAACGTGAACAAGAGAACTGATAACTGACTCATATAAAGTCCTGTCAGAACAGAGAAGTCCAAAAGAGATATGAAGACACCGTCCAGAACAATGCAGTGTTCTCTAAATCGGTTGTTAGATTTTGTTAGTTTAATTGATGCCTGGATTTTATACTCAGTCAGGATTTAAAAGCAGCAGCAGTTTTCTTTGTGTGGAGCTGATCTGGAGACAGTTTTAGCTGGTTTGTGTTGACCCCTATAGCTTTTATTGTGCAACTGCAGCCCAGTGTGCAGCTTTTATGGTTCATCTGCCCGCAGCAAGTCTGTAATGCAAGAACTGCTGTGATTGTACACAGTGCTGTGGAGTGACATCACTCTCTGATTTGTTCCAGAAAAGATTTTAATGATCGATTTTAATAAAGTTGGTGAAATCGAAGAAGGTTTCCCAAAAACACCAGCACAGTTTTTCTTGTAGTGCGTTATTGTTCCATTGTTTTACATTTCAGGGTTTTTTGCTGTAAACTGGTTCTGATTGGCCGCACAGCTTATTACATCTTGACTGAGAAGAAGTTCTTATCACATGCAGCTCGTCTTCATCAAGTATTAGAACCAGCTGGCAGCACATTAGGACCAACAGCTACTGTAAACCCATGCCTTGCTCAACAGCACAGTGACGGGCAGCGGTTCGTCCTTCTTCCCATTTCATCGAGATCTGATTTAGTTTTATCTGAACTGGTTCCCAGTCAGATTTTGAAATCATAGTTGGATTTGAGGCTCGTAGTTGGTGTATTGTAAAGAGTAAAGCCACCGAGGTAGAGGAGGTCACCTGCTGATTGGCAGGTTGGCGGTTCGATCCCCGTCTGGTTCAGTCTGCATAGCATTAACCCCACGTTGCTCTCTGAAAGAAAGTGCCTATGTGAGGCGAGTTGTACAATTGCTCGTGTAGAGGAGAAAAGCACCATATAAGAACCCGTCCATTTACCATGTTTCATCTCTTCACAGCTGACCTTCCCCAGAGCCAATCTGCTACTGATGTCCAGCAACCAGGAGAACCTCAACGACTGGTACCAAAGCCTGAGTTCCGCTATCAGGTAAACTGTGACAGATATCTGCTCTGTTTGTGCGTCTGACCTGCAAGAAACCTCATGGACCTGCAAGTTACCCTGATATAAGTAACGTTAACCATGACAGCCCTGCTCTAGAGTGAAGCGAAACCCGGCTCTTACATTTAACACAAAGTCTTGCAGTCTGTCCTTTGAATGTCTGTTTAAAAATATGAGTAGTTTTCATAACTGCTCCTAGTCACAGTTTATCAGAGGAACTTAGCACAGTTGCACTTCGGTATATAATGAGCAGATAACATTTGATTGTACAGGTGTGGAACGAGTCTTTAACACAGGCTGTTTTGGTACCTCAGGCCTGCCCGGCTCTCAGACAGCGTCTTGGCATTAATCAGTCAGACCTTAGTAATTCTACTCCCAGCCTACCTGGCCCCAGCTCCCTGGAGGAGGACTTGGGTCAGCCCTGCTATGTGGAGCCACTGGATATGGTGAGGGCCCTGACCTCGGTGTGCCCAGCCAGGCTAATTAGTTTATCACTTTGTCAGTTAGGAGAGAGGGGAGGCTGTCAAAGAGCTCAGACCAGGCAGCAGATGGGGGCCTAGACAGGCTGTCAGCTCTAAACTCCAGGCAGTGTAATTAGCTGTGGGGGAAGACGGAGGAGAGGACCGGCTGAGAGGACCAGGGGTCAACAGCACTCACACCACTGGGGAGCAGTGTAAGGCTGAAGGGTGTGTGTGCTTGTCCGTACGTAACTGAATTATTGATATAATAAAGACTGCAGGGTATCGTGACTGACATCTCCGAGGCTTTTGGATATCGCTCTAAGTGATGACCAAAAAAGTGTTTAATGCTGTTAAGTTTCATTAGTTTTGTGTTTATTTTTAATTAATTCATTTTCATTTTTTCTGTTTCTGATGGAAAACACCACATTTCCACTCATACTGCTTAGCTGTGATTTCATGATTTTAATCACTAGTAGCTGTAGAAAAGATTTTTTTGTGTGTATCTAATTTTTCTTTTTATCAACAGCTAATAAAACACCAAAACCATGTTTTGCTGTCCTGATGGCTGTTACACACCTAGCCCCTTAATGCTAACCATGACAAATAGTTAGTAGTTCAGAGTTTTGACCTACTGTGCAGTCAAGGTTAATGTCCTCACTACGTATCTGAAACCTGACCAAGCACACAGTCACATTTGTGTAGCTTCTTAGAAGGCTTAACCTAAAACACTGTGACAAAGTGCGTAATCCTTAGGCTGATGTCACAACTGGAAAGATTTGCTTGCCCCATAGGGATGTATAATGCATCATCCCAAGGGTGAACTCAATTACTACCATTACTACTAATTGCAAGGTCAGTGGTTCAGTCACTGGCTCCTCCACTTCACATGTTGAAGTGTCCTAGAACACTTTAGGTGTGAATGTGTGGATGACTGGATATGTAAAGCGCTTTGGGGTCCTTAGGGACTAGTAAAGCGCTATATAAATACAGGCCATTTTAAAGCGAGATACTTGAGCCTAAGTTGGCCCTGAAACGTCTGTTTGGAGTGTGTGCTGCAACGTGAGGGACAGTGTAACAGAGACTTTGTCCATGCAGCGATGCTGATGGATGTCAGTGTTCCTGATCATGCTTTATAAGAAACTTGATTATGTTTGTGGTCTGAGGCATATTTAGTAACCACTGATCCTGTTTTTTATATTTACAACACGTGTTCCCAGTGATGATTTCACAAGGTCATTTTACGTATTTTAAAGTTTGCAGTGAAATCAGCTGAGAGGAGACGGCCTTCTTTCAGAGTTCTGTATGAACTGATAACGTTCTGAGACCAAAGACTACGACTAAAATATTTATGTCGTTTTCAGCTCTTTGTCATATACAGGAAACAACGGCACATTACTACCAGTGCTAAATCCTTTGGCTCAGACCTGCTAGTAATGTGTCATTGTTACCTGTTAATCTGATGAGTAAGAGGGCAGCAAACCACTAGTTACAGATAAAATGATACCAATGAGGACCAGTCAGCCAGAGAATATAAGGTACAATGGTGTGGTGATGGTTTCCAGTTGGTAATAAATCTTGGTGTCCTGTGATGAACAGAATCCAGACGATGGAGCGAATGAGCAGAAGCGTTCATTTAATTACATCCAGGATTCACCTCAAAGACGAACACGATTGATTTCAGAAAAAGAAGACCAACTTCAGTCACTGTGTGGCTTAAAGGAAAGTTTACCATCAATCACAATACCTGAATATCTGGATGAGGCCACAGTTTCAATAGAAAGAGAAGGAAGTGCTGCCGACTAGGGCTGCCACAAACGATTACTTTGATAGTCGACTAGTCACCGATTATTTTTACGATTAGTCGACTAATCAGATCATCATCCATTGGACGTAAAACTACAGCTTATTGCACCAGCAGCATCTGCTCTTATATAACTATCATTAGCTTACAGCTTTAAGTGTTTAAGGTCTGTGCTAACTAAAAATAAAGACAAGATGATAGTTTATTAAATTTTAATGAAGTTTGCAGATTGTTTCGGTGAAGTTTAATAAACTCCTTGCTATCTAAAATATAACAGGACACCGGAGTATATTCTGGAGCATCTCACACTTCTGATAATCAGCTGTCTGCTTGACGTTTATTCAGCTGTGTAAAAACTATAACTTTAATCTCAGCCAAACCGATTTACTCAGGAACAAATAAAACACTTAAAAAAGCCAAACAATAACATTTTAAGTTATCTAAGTGACTCATATATCATGTTTAACCTGAGTAGCGAAAGACGGCGGTGGGTTTGAAAACGATTTGCCGGGAGTCCGGTGTTCTCACGGCGCTAGTGACCTAGCCCCCGGCTAGCTATCGAGCTAGTGGGTAACAGACGTCTCCGAAAACGTCGGAGCGCTTTTGAAAATATGCGGTGTCCTGATAAGCTGAGCAGATATTTGAGGTTTACACAGCTACATTCTCGCCTGAAAATATGTTAAACGTTTATTTTGTGACCCAGAAAGAATAATAAGAGTAATATTAAAACTAACTAGCTGCCGCCATTGTTGGAAACTGCGCTGGGACACAACTGCTTCTTCTTCTTCTTCGGGGTTTAACGGTAGCTGACATCCTTGTACATGCAATGCTGCCATCTTCTGTTTCAGTCCGTTATTACACTCTTAAATCCTGCTACTTATTCCTGCGTCCTTTGGGATCTTACAAAGCTTCAAACGACGCGTCGACTATTAAATCAGTCGTCGACGATTTTGATAGTCGACGTAATCGTGACTAGTCGACAAATCGTGGCAGCCCTACTGCCGACACCCTCTTCCTGTTTGAGACCAACGTGACCTTTATTTTTTTTCTGCATTTAAAATCACGTTGAGCTGACCCAGCTGTGACTGCATGCAATCAAAAGCTAGCTGTTGGAAAACCACGTCAGTTGTACGAGCACCACAGTAAATAATCGTGTCATCTGTGTGATAATGGAGAGATGCTTTTAGATTTTGTCCCAAGCCATGAAGATAAATAGTGTAGGCCCCAGGAGAGAACCCTGCAGCACTCCGTCAGTGTTACTGAGTTAAATAAGAAGAAGAAACAACAAAACATTTGTTGAAACAACGAGCGTTTCACTTTCGTCTGACACAGGACTCTTTGTCTTCTTCTTTGATTCCTAGCTGGCGTTAGGCCTGGATCGGCTCCTAAGCCCATGCGCCGCAGTGGGTGCCAATGGTTGTTGAATTTCCTTCACAACTCGTTTCCATGCGTGGAGATCGTTGGCGATTGTCCTGGCCTTGTCGAGATTTATTCTGCGATTTCTGATGTTACCTTCGACCTGTTTTAGCCATGTTTTTCGCCATTCGTTGGATTCGCCGCTGTGTGGGACGTTTATGCCAGAGAAGTTGGTGTCGTAGTCGGCTCGCGTCCATTCGACACACATGGCCAAACCATCGCAATCGGAGTTTTTGAATTCCAGTCAGATGTCCTCCTATCAAAGGCGGTCTCGAAGTGATTCTTGTAATATCTGCCGAAGGCAACGCATCTGGAAAACTTCGAGCTAGTTGAGGTCTGCTTTAAGCAATGTCCACGTTTCTGATCCATAGAGTAGAACCGGCAGGATCAACGTCTGGAAAAGGCGGATTTTGGTCGAGATGGAAATATTAGTTCACTTCCACAAGCACCACTTTAAAAAAGCGGAAGTTGACCTATTTGAGTGTGCATCTCCGCCATGGACGCGACTTTCTTCTGCGCGATCAGTGAGCCCAGCTATTTGAACGGCTAAACTTGCTCTATCTGGATGTCGTCAGGTGGACAATGAAAACATAGTCAGTCGGTGTTGGATACAGACTTTCTCACCTGGTCCTTTTCATGTCGGACAGTCAGAACTGAACCAGGGGCTTCTTAGTGAGGGGGGACAAATCATCAGAACCAGAGTGTTGCATGGAAAAAAGACCACAGTGTCAAACTGGTTGTAAACTGTTTACTGGATGCCATTAAATGGTGCAATTAAAAAATTAAATTAGTAAGTTGCTGCCTGTTTTGTTTTGTACAGGAAGCAGAATTCTAAGCAGACGGCGATCTATCAAAGAGACGAGCTGTGCCGCAGACCTCTGCGCTCTGCCGCCGATCGCCACAACACTGCCAACGCCGCCAGCAGAAAGAGAAACATGGTGAGTGTGTCTTTAAGCTACCAAACAGATTTTTAGGTCACTTTAACCGTTGTTGATCTTTGTGGTGGCAGAGCATTGATCATGTGTTCTGCTGCTCGGCCTTAGATAGTAGTTCTGTCTTTACTTTCCATGAATGTTACTTGAAGAAAGTTAAACTCCATTATTTTAATTTCTGTGGTTGACCAGCAGTGGATACTTAGTGGTAACATGCTTGTATACTGAGAGCACAACTGGTGGATTGGTCCCGGTCCCCACAGCATTATCATCACAGGCTCAAGACAGCCTCGCATCAAGTCTTTGTTGTTGCTCTCTGTGCTTAACGGTTTTTGTGTCCAGCTTGGATTCGCAGTCTTCCTGCCGTGTCAGATACAGCCTCAGACGGGGCTGAGTCTAAACGAACGAGTCTTAAATCTTTTCTGAATTTTACCAACAGTTTACACATTTATGACAACCAGATAGAAATGTTGATGAAGCTCACATTGCGAACAGGCACAAGAAAAATGGTATAAATGTTTGGGAATGAGCTGGTGTTCTGCATGAATCTGTCATAAAACATCGGCTTTAATGACAACGCTACCACGAGTAGTAGACAGCATTTAGGACATGAAGTTTGGCCGATGCATTTAAAGCTGTTGGTAATTCTCAGCATTTACTTGCTGCCCCTTTTAAATAAATGAACAGTCACAGCAGTGACAATCACAGTCATGCCTGCCTCTGATCTTAGTACGTTCCCTTTGTCATTTATTTGAATACGTTTAAAATGAATCATTAAACCTACATACATGTGCACCAATCACCACACATCACGTCCACGCCCACACGGCGTTTTGAAGCAAGTGTAACACTGCCAGCTTCTCACAGATGTGAGTCCACTATGGAAAAGAATGAAAGAGAAGGAACGTGAAACTATAAAAGTCAACGTTTTTGCGAAGGAGGGGCCATCTTTTGGTGACACGCTGCAACTGAGTGTAAGCGGCGTGTATACAGTGGAAACGCCCAGCGGCTGGGAGCTGACCCACAGCTGACCCACAGCTGACCCACAGCTGACCCACAGCTGACCCACAGCTGGCCCACAGCTGACCCACAGCTGGCCCACAGCTGACCCACAGCTGGCCCACAGCTGGCCCACAGCTGGCAGGAGCAGCAGCTCTAAGTGGACGTATACGAAGCAGAATTTCTTTGATGTTTAGTCTCTTAACTCGTCTACCTCGTCCAGCTTCTACTGAGCTCTGCCGACTGCCACATCATCATCATCATCATCATCATTGATTATTATGTGAATTCATTTTACGTTTAATAATAACAAACCACAGCATCCCTGTATCACGATGTTTTCACTAATATGTTTTTGGTTAAATGTGTTGTTCAAAATAAAACATGAATAAAATGTGACTACGTTTAAAGTTTAAATATTAATCCTGATATTTTCAAATGGTAATGATTAATTAATAAATGAGTGATGTTTCTTCTTAAGCTCAAATCTTGATTGCTGCCTGTTTAGTCATTTTTACATCACACAAGTTTGCAGCTAAAATTTAAGCTCCTGTCTTCTGTTTGTTCCTCTGCTGCTTTTTTCAGCTCACTGCTGAGATCAGTGAGCTTCCTCAGGAGCCTCCAGTTGAGCAGGAGTACAGCGCCCCCAAGAGGATGAAGCCGTCTGATGCTTCAGAGCAGAGGTGGGATGGTTTTTTCCAGTAGTACACGGACGACGACAACGACACTTTTATCTGTACACACCGCCTCAGTAGCTTTTACAACAAAATATCAATATGATTGAAAAGCAGACTTTCAGTTTTATTTCAGTGCTTTGAACAAAAGTGTAATTACACTAATTTAGTATTTACAGACTGATGGAAAAGCGGGGCCTGTTCCCTTGTTATTCCATGAGAAGTGACGTGGATGTGAGGCAGGCCATGACCGCTGAAAACTCCAAATCAATCCAGAGAAAGGAAAAATGTTACAAATCTGTTACATTCATGAACAGAAGCACACAAAGGACCCGATGCACACGGCTTCCAGTTTTACAACCATTTATTTTCAATGTTTTACTTCGTTCAGTTCAGTTTTATTTATATAGATATATATTGCCTCAATGTGCTGTATATTATAACGTAAAGACCCCACAATAATACAAAGAAAACAGAGAAACCCCAACAACCCTATGACACCATGTGAGCCCGCGCTCCATACTCTGTCTTAACAGCGAGAAACCTTCAGCAGCTCCAGCTCCTGATGTTTTTTAGTAAAGGTTTAACTACAGCCAGCTTGGAGGCCTGTGGTACACAGCTGATTATCACAGATAGGTGGATCATATTTAAGATTGTTATATAGAAGTCAAATAATGTCATTATGTGTGACTGAATGTGACTTGAAAACGTTTGTGTGTTGAGCAGTGCAGAGACTTCCAGCTGTGTGATCCTCTGATGGGCTGGAAGATGAACCCAACCCTGACTGGGAGTTTCAATAAGGACCTTTGCTGTTTTGACACGCCTGCGCTCCATAGCACCGTTTTTTCCTTTATCATGAAATCAGAAGAGCTTTATATTATTACTAAAGAGCAGCTTCTGCTACTACCCATCTCATGCAATACAAACTATAATGACCTGCTGCTATCGGGCTACAGCAAACATTCATCGCTTTGCAGAATGATATTGCAGCAACTTTTCTCCTGTATGTTTTACTCTTTTACATTTATAATCACCCCGTAGTGTTGTGCAGAAATACAACAACACACATGGCAAAAGGACAGTGGTGGTTGGTCAGCATTCGTAGTGAAAGTGTGAGACAGCAACGCAGGATCATTTGTCTGATTCAGCCTGAACGTCAGCTTGACCGGGACGAACCTCCATCAGTGTGCGCTGTCGTCAGGCAGATTATTGTTACTGCATCTAAACTGTGATTTGTATGAAACTATGAAATGGCCAATGTGAAATCAATCAATCCGATAACAGCGCCAAAGGGAGACAATGACAGTTTAAATATTTAACAGTTTATTAGTCATTTGTGGATTTTTGTTAATTATAATAATGAATGATGTTACTTCTTGTTTTATTTGAAAGTGTCCATTGCTTCATAATTATGTGCACATATGCATGTCTGGAGCTCGAGTCCATAATCTTAGTGAAGCCTTAGTTATAAGATTCAGTCAACACACCGATGCATTACACACTGAGGTTACTTCATTTGCTTCTCATGATACTTGTTGATTGAATCAATCAATCAATCAATCGACTGATTCACATATATGTAGTGGATATTTAAATGATTTGCATATTGGATGAATTGCTTTGATTGTAAACTGAATATTTGCATTTAATGATCTGCAACAATGATGTAACTGTGTCCAAAAACGTATCCAGGGACAGTCCCTGTGATGTTGGCTACAGGAAATGTGAGGACGGTAACTGCCTCCCACTTCTAAACTAAACTGTTTCCAACCTGCTTACACATCTATACAACAAGTTAACTGTCTTTTATTTTGTAATTACGTTGTGTTACATGTATTCTCTGTTACGCCATTTAATCATCTCATAACAACAAATCAAAAAGTATGAATTTATAGTTGGACTTTTTTAACACTGCCTCACGTTTTAGACTTTTAATGCGTTTGCTTTAAAATTTAAAGATGTTTGTAGAAGTGGATCATTTCACAATAAAACACTGAAAGACATTTTTGTGTTTGCTGTCGTGATCTTCATCGTCAACATCACAAAAATGAAGGTAACGATTATGGAGAATGGCCAGCAAAGTCTTGCACGGTGCAGGACATCACTCCCCTCTGCTGGATAGGATTGGTACTGCATGTATTAGACAGTAAACTCTGGCTTGAAGAGCAGCGGATCACTTTGTGTGAGCTAGAAGTCAAATGTAACCCTCTCAAAGGGTTTGTAATCCTTCATCATTCATCCTTTGCTGATGAAGCACTCAGCACAGTCCTGACTGTGAGATTGAGCCTTTCCCACCATAACGCAGAGCAGCAGGAGTATCTGTTGTCTAACCTGAAGTGGGATACTTGGTCTCTTCTAGCAATCAGTCTGCACAGTGCATGGATACAAGAACTGGTATTCAATGAATAAGTGTGTTCGAATGCTCTGCTTTACTGGACATACAAGTGAAAATAACTCGATGACCTTTAACAAACCTGCAACTCATCTTTACCTCAAATGGGCCAAAGACATCAACAGCCACATCTGTAGACAGGGAGAGATCTGTTTACAGATGTGGACCATCTACAAGTAACGCAGGGAGAAATCATTTTCCTGGCAGCAGAATTTGCACTAATGAGCCAATAATGTTGGCAAAGTGGTTCCTCCCACAGCGTCCTAATTGCACAATAGATGCACTGAAGTCATGAATGTAATGCTTCACCCACAATTCTATGTGAGCAACAGAGATTTGGTCAACTCTAATGGTGGGGTCACTGGTCCCCAGTTCATAGCCTTCTCTTAGTGGTCCATGAGTGATCAGGCCCCTCACCATTGCTCCTGTGGTTTTATTACCTACAGATATAAATATCCAAGACAAACACCTTTCTCCTTCAGTCGGGCTTTTCTCTGTGCAGTTTGAGATGTGTCCAGTTTATTTCACTTACTTGGCTTCTCAGGCAGGAGTGGAAACTGTACACTTTCTTTCAATGAAATCAACAACATCGAAACGTGTTTGACGATGATATTTTTCCTGTCTCTCACACAGTGTTTCACCATTTCTTCCATACTGGAGCAATATTCATTTCTGACAGGAAACCAGTGTCCTCAGTGACATTACAGCAAACACATCCTCAGCCTTACCTGTCAGCTGGCCTGTCTGTTGTGGCACAACTCACCCCAACTTATGAATACTTTAAACATATTATTAGAAATAGACCATCATGCCATGGAGTTATAACAGTGAGGACAGGCAGGGCTGCCGCTCACTCGGTCAGAGCAGTGAAGAAGGGGAAGTCCGCTGGTCAGGTGCGAGGAAGATGAACATGTGCGGGATGACGTGAAAATGACAGACGGAGGAAAAAAAGAAACGAGGATCTCAGAGATCTGGACCTGCCAATCAAAGAGCTGACAGCACATATAAAGGCACCAGCATCCTTTATGTGTTCATCACTTTGAGCAAACTCAAAAGCCAGTTTATGGTATTTAAGCACATACAAAGGAATGACACTGATGTCTCTGCAAGCTGGATCAAAGAGGCACGTGCAGGCTGGGGTAAGTGTGCATTTATTAAGAAGAAGTAATAGGAAACATTAATAAATATTTCAGTGGGATGTTATGAACTAGGTCACACCTGTGAAGACAATTACAGCTAATTTCATTTTCTTTTGAATTTAAATTTGTTCTGAACGTGTGCTCATGTGGCGCACAAGGCTTGTATCAAATTACCTTTGATGTTGTAAATGATCTTTAAATAAACCTTAGAGAAGCAATTTTGGATTCAGTTTGTCCAGCTTTTATACAGCATTACTGTTTATGACATCAAAATATACGGTTTTACTTTAGTAATCAATTGTACAGTTTAGCCAAAGATATTCTCTCCAAAGCGTTAAATTAGTTAAATACTGTGTTTCACATCCAAACTGATCGTTCCCACAGATTCCTGAATATATGAACATATTTTAGTTGGAAGCATTACTGTCATGTTCTGGCTTTAAAGTAAAACTGGCACATGTCACTCCTCTCTCCCCTACTGGCCTCCTTACACTAGCTTCCGGTCTCTTTCAGGATCCAGTTTGAAATGGTATTATCTGTTTTTAAGAGTATCAATGATTTGATGCCAGAACTTTTGAAACCCCATAATCCTACCAGAGCACCGCGGACTATGAACCAGCTGCTCCCGCAGACTCTGAGATCCAGGCTTAAAAGCAGAGGCGATGGAGTCTTTTCAGTGGAGGCTCCAGATTTAATTTTAAGCTGTTCCAAAGATCTGCCCAGTCTCCTAAAAAAACCCTATTTGTTCTTGCTCTCAGGTCTGGTTGAGACCTCGGCTTTTATTATGCTGTTTATAGTGTATATTTTGTACAACTTGTACAAAGTTCATTTAAAAACATGCTAAATAAAGGAACCTTGATCCAGCTCTGGTGGTGAATGTACCCCAGCGCAGCTGACCGATGACGAACATCATTGAGGGGACCGTCAGCCCACCCTGCGGAGTCGGTTCACTGTTCAGCTGATGGCTTACTAACTTGTTCCTCTGAGATTGCTCTCGTGGCAGGATGTGTAAACACGGCCCTGCGGGATTTAATTATTGTGGCATCTGCGTCAAAATCTTTGAGTAAGCCTATTTCTCTCGGCTGTGCGGATCAGTTCACGATTTAATTCTGGCTGTTTGTTCTCGTCTGCTGTGAGCAGCCGACATAATACCGAGTTACATTCACATGTGACGGTGCACGTTACACCTTCGTGGTCCCGCCCCCGACACCGCGAACTTCAAGGCCCTTCCCACGACGCTGCTTTGAGCCTTTGTGAGTAACGACAGTAACGAAGTAACGAAGCCTCAGAACGAGGAAGAGGACGGAAAATTGATGTTTCGTTCAATGTCAGTGAGAAAAATGGGAGAACCAGGTACCCTTTGTGGGAGGCTGAATTCTTTACACTAGAAACATCTATGAACGTTGCGCACTGAGGCTGTTCCATCATTTACTGCTGTCTCTGTATTGCACAGTGTTAATGTGCAAGTTCAAGTTTAATGTAAATGTTGAGGCGTTTCTTTAAATTGAACGAGCGTGATGGGCTCAGTCATTTAAAAATCCCGACCATAGCCTCGGCTCATCGTTCACCGTGCGTGATTCGGGAAAAACGAATAGACGAATCATCTGAAGTGCTTCTTGAATTATCCATCCATCCATTATTTCATATTCAATCTCGTCAGAGTCAACAGAATAGTAGTCTAAATTCCCACGGGTCCTGAAGGTAGCATTTAGTAACTTACTGTAAATTGAGCAGGTTGTGTCACATCGAGCAGGAAGTTTTCCAGCCCAGCGCCAGTTACACCCTGTCGGGGGTTTTCCTTCACTGTCGACAGAGCAGTGTGTCTCTGAATCAGCGGACTGTTGTTCATTTGAAAGGTGAAAATGAGCCTCCATCGAGCGCTGCTGCTGTTAACGTGTGTGTCGCTGTCGACCACGCTCAGGATTTTATCCGGACGTCTCAAGTGCTCTCGACAGGTGAGAAAGGTTTTACAGTAGAGCGGCTCCAAGTTTGCCGAACACAACAGATACTTCCTGTTCCTGTTTGTGTACGTTATGAAAATAATTTTAGACAAACTTGAAAAGAAACTTTGAGTTTTCCTGGTAGCGAAAGAAAGTTTGTCTTTTTAAAGAATTCGATATTTTTGACTTCTTTACATAAGATTATTGTTCCTTACATAGTTTTGAGCTACATTTTGTTTAAGGCCAATTTTTCTCTAAACAAGGATTTTAAAATAAAACTATGAGCACTGTTCGTAATTCATTTAACTGAGTGTCTTACTTGGAGTGTAGTCCTCGCACCTGTATTTGATTCTATAACGAGTGAAGGCGCAGTCACAGGACTGAGCTATGTAATGATCAATGTTTAAGTAACGTCGTGTTTAAACTTTTGCGGATCTTTTTTTCTTTTCTTTAGTGTTTGTGTAGCGAAGAACAATGTTACAGTTTATCTGGTTACAGTTTATCTGGTAACAGTTTATCTGGTAACAGTTTATCTGGTAACAGTTTAGCTGGTTACAGTTTAGCTGGTAACAGCCCACAATGCTAATGATTGACAGCTGTTCAACGTTCTGGTTGAGCGCTGTTTATCAGATAAGCAGTGTTCCTGTGTCGTGTATGAGGCACAGCGTTGTACAGCTCTAATATCTATCAACTTGAAATAGAACATCCGGGCATTCAAACTGCTGTTTGCTGAATAATTTTGTAACAGTTGTTGTAAACATTATGTTCATGTGACTCCTCTTCAAATAAAAAAAAGAGAGTAAAGTCCCTACAGGTGCACTGATAGGACCTTAAATAGGCTCCTACAGAGGAGCTGATGGAAAGCATTTTATAATACTGAATACTACACGTCTCCTTACTGATGTTCTCTTTTTGTCCATCTTTTCCTCTCCAGGATTTGAATTGTGAAGTTCGTGAAAGTGAGTGGATTCTTCAGTCTTCCTCTCACTGCTGTTGCTCAGATTTCTTGGTTTGACCCTGGTTCAGACAGCGCAGCCACTGCTGACAGAGGAAGACAACAAGAATTTGGAAAACAATCAAACAAAAAGATATTCTTTAAATGCACTAATATTACATTTGGGAAGAGTCATTTGTGATGTCGTGCTGTAATATACCAGGAAGTAACAAACACAGTGCTGAAACACAGCAACAAAAAGAGAGACGAACAATGAACACAATCACTTAAACTAAAAACCTTTGCTAATGGGACAATGACACTGGCTGTTCTCTGTGTGCGTGTGCGTTTGCAGCTAACTGTCTGGACAAGCGGTGGCTGAAAGTTCATGATTACACTCCCAGCAATCCAGAGGACCTGCAGGTGTCAGTGGACGTCAGGCCAGACGAGGCAGGACTCCTGCAGCCAGTGCTAGAGGCTAGTTGGAAGTTAAAGGATGATGGTGAGTGAGTCTGCGGGGATGATCATGTACAACAGTACATACATGAAAACCAACACATCAGAGACATGAAAACACTCAGATCCATCAGTT